GTGGATTCACGGATAATTTTGGGAAGTAAACAATAAAAATTGAGATAACTTTTATGCGAAACATTTTTACCTAAAACTAATAATAATGCCACTATAGAGAAAGGGGTCTCAGGTGGGAAACCCTGTATAGATATATATGTATACATACTGTTTTCTTAAGAGTAAATAAATTCAAAATTAAAAGTAATTCTTTATTGTAGAATATTGTCAGATAAAATTGTACTTGATAATACACGAATATTTTTTCTTCAGTGTGTGATAAGAAAAGTAACTAATTTACTTAAAATAATTATCCGAAAAATAATTTGCCAAATCACAATTCATCTAACAAATATTCATCGACAGTTACCTTATTCAAGTGCTTGTAATAAAGTGTCGCTTACAGGTAGAACATAATTTTGGCAAATATCTATAGACATCAGATATTTTTATATTTATTTAACCAGCAAATACAAAATACATAGATTACAAAGTACCCATGTACCCCCACAGAGATAAATATTATTATCTGTTGGTGGGACTGGTAAAAGAACAAGATAATAACTTAAATCCATAAAAATAATTGATACTCTATTAAATATTTTTTTGATCAATTTAATAATTCGGGAGGTTATTCCACATCGAAATGTTTTTTTAATTATTATAAATATTTCCGAGTGTAGCTCTCTTTTAAATCAGTTAGGTTTGAGAAAAAAATATTCTTTGATTTATTCAAAAACCAAAATAGAGGTCTGAAACTTGCTGGATCAAAATATCTCATTAGTACCAATATACCCCGAAAAGATGATCCAAATATCCCTATGGGATCAATTTATTTATCTAACGTATAAAATGAATGCTAATGGAGATAACCCAACTAATCCTGATTTAAATAAAATAAAAATGTATATTTCCATAAATTTTTACGAGAAGAAATCAAGAGAAATTTATTCTGATGATGAGTGATAAGTAGATTACCTTTTAAAAATATTTACGTATAATTTATTATGTACGCTTATACATATTATACACTGTAGATCTAGCCGAAGAGATCAAAGATAAAAATTAAGTGTTTAATAAAATAGGTACTTACTAATTTAATTTGTTTTTTAGACCTTCATGTATCCTGGATAATAATTAATTGTTAAATCTATATTATGCAATGGTACACGATATCACAATAAGTCAAGGGAATCATTACTTGCTATAATTCAATGCGTTACTCTATACTTAGCTACTTACACTTAAATAAAGTTTATTTCAGGATTGAAAACCTGAATAACAAATACAGGTGGGTTCAGACTGTAATTGTAAGAATTAAATATGTATCGGGAAGATCACATTTACAGATAAAAGAAATAAATCCTTATTATTTTACTTTTTTTTAATACACACTTAGACCAGCAGTCGGCAATTGGCGGGCTGCGGTTCAGGTCCGGGCCACGGAAGGTTAAAAGCGACCGTCAAAAATTTTTTAAAAGTATAAAATATTCAAACAAATTATTTAACTAACAAAATACGTTTGAGTTTTGAGCACCACGCTTATGAAATTTTTCCTAGTATTTCATAAAAAACTAAGGTAACTGATTTGACTTCTTCACGATTCAGGAATGTTATTGGGATCCGTCAAATGGGAGGAGCCTAAAACATGGCGCCGATTAGGGAAAATTTATCGTAGTTCCTATAGTGTACCGTGCAATTTCCAAGTTTTTAAATTACGATAAAATGATAAGCATTGACACAATATGTGATTGGGCTGACACAAAGCCTCGGAAAGGAAATTTCGTTGAAGGTGAGCGTGTTTTTAATGCCAATCACATTATAAAATTCGGAAATAACAAATCCGGAAGCTAGCCTTCAAATTCCGTCAAGTTTACTGCCTACTTTTTACAAACTTCGGATTTAAAAAGTGATTCACGTTATATAATTGGTGAGGTGATTCTGGGTGATTTAAGCAATATCATATCAATGACTTGCACGTGCAAAGCCGATTTAAGAGAACGTTGCAAACACATTATTGCAACTTTGTTGTATTGCAGCAGGTAGGTTCTTAACCTCAAAATACTTATATCGTATCATTAGAATTGTGTTAAATCAATTACACAGGAATAAATAATTTCTCACTTTATAATTTTAGTATGATTCTAGTTTTAAATATTAAGGTTATGGCTGATGGTAAATACTTGCTGAAATATAATCATGTGCATTAAAATGACGTGAACAAATTTTTATTCCGGAATTCACTTCTTTGATACCTACTGCTTTCATCCAAGCTTCTATTAGTTTACTTTTTTCTCTAATTTTCCGAATATATTTTTTACATATATAAAACGGTTAGTTTTTATTGGAAAGTAGTTAATGTAGGTGAAGAGTGAAGATCTATGTCTGAAGTGCTATTGCAGCTTTTCACTGAACATATTAACTTTTTATTTGATTTAACTTTAGAAGAAAACTTCGTCGACTCCATCATCAAAAAAATTTTTACTTTTTTAACGTGTCTTATTATTTTAATAAACAATTTTACAATTTGCGTGCACAGTTCCTATGTAAATTTCTCCCTCATTCGAGTTATAAATTTTGCCACCAGATGGTGTATGCCCATTTGACGGATCCCAATAGGCAGATTGAATATAACTATGTTATGCAGAGCTATTCGGCGACTGCTCCCAGTGTGAACCTAACTTTAAAAAACTGGATCAAGACCGCAAATGTAATTTCTCCCATTGAATAAAAATATACCTATCTATTGTAATTGGTAAAAAATAGACCTCGATAAAAATTTTCAAAAGTATCCCGACCACATCACACCTAATAATACTTGCCGACCCCTAGTCTAGTCCAAACATAAAACAATGGAATTGTTCAAAAAATTGTGTATGTAAGCAGGAGCGGACCCAGAAGCAATTCTTTGTGGGGGGAGGGGTTCTTAATATTTTGAAATGATTCTATTAGAAATAATATTTGATGTACTTTGAGTCTCATTAATAAAAGGACTCGCATTAAAAAAAAAAAAACGTAAATTGTACAGATTTTATTGATATATTACTGCTGTAATTTTCAAAAATTTAGAAATTAGACTAAATAAAATTTCAAACTAAGCACACAAGTTATTTTCTGTACCTATTTCCAATATTTATTTTTATCTTATCTATATTAACCCCCACTTCTTTCCTTTACCACACCTGTTTCATTGTCATAAAAAAAACGACCCCTATTCCTTAAAATTTTCTTTCAGTCGGCTTAGCTTACACCTCCATCCTCATTCACCAATTCACAGCATTCTGTCCCCTCCCTCCCCCTCTAATTACCACGGCACACAATAGCATTACCAGTCCCTCCACAAAATCTCTCTCAGTCCCATTTCGACTCCTTTCTTTTTCTTAGATTCTCTCCCCTTATCACTTCCCTGCATCCCCCAGCTGAGACATTTTTGTTAACATGAAGATAGTCAGTCATTTATTCAATTTTTTCAGAAAATATTCTTCACAGTGCTGATATATTCATGTTATTCTCTCCCCCCTTCCCGTATCCGCTACTAATATAAGTAAATAAAAATAATAGTTTTAACTAATTTGAAGGTGTAAATATTAAATTTTATCAAAATATTTTGGAGATTAAAAAAAAATTGTTGTTCTGGGTTTATCAAAATATCTTACCTCGGTTTTGTCAGGAATTAAAGACTAGCGGTTTTTTCTTTTGGGATATAGAGTACGTTTCAAATTATTATGTGAAAAAACACCAAATGGGATAGGAATGATAGGTAGGGTAGGCCAGTAGGCTGAAAGCCACCATATGTGGGTTCATTATTTATAAAAACAACTACTTTAGACGTGGGTATGCATTGGATTATATCCGAGATTTTTCCGTTGCAAAAAGAGGTGTATTTCGGAAAAATGTGGTCTATCCACTGCGTTTCTTTTCCAACATTCACCCATTAGGTCGTAAATTTCCCGGGGACACGAAGGCGGTCGAGGAAGGTACCTCTGACAGCCATGGTTTTGGTACCAGTGGTTGCTATTTTCCACCACTTGTTCGTTTGTAAATTCTGCGAATGGTTGTTGCATACACGCCATCAGTATTTCCCATAATGTTACAGCAAACGACCAGACGTCGCTTTTAGTTGTGTACTTTCCCTGAAAGAGTAATTTACAATATTGCGAACGTGGTTATTTAAATAATTAGGCGTTCGACAACATGTAAACATTAGAATTTACAAATTAGACTTGAGGAGCGTCTGAATATAATAATAAGCAAAATTTGCCAACGTGAATGGACGCAAGGGGTTGCGGATGGGTCCACGGACCAGTTAAAAATTTTCACGCTCCGATAAAAAACTGGGATAAACGATTTTGCAGGATAATTACGAAGGAACATGTTTCAAACAAGCCGCTTGCAATTAAACTTTTCGGCAGCTTTTTAACCACGTATCATCGTATCAAAAAACATATGTGGTCATAATGAGATCTAAAAAAATTTAATGTGAACGAAAATAACCGTTTTATCATCTAAAAAAATTATCCAACAAAATAATGGTACTGTAACAAATTAAATGTATAAGTGCTCTAGCAAATTAAATTTTTTGTAGAAAAGCTTAAGAGGGTGATAGATAGAATAAAATGGGCGACTCATTTATTTTTAATCGAATCTTCAAACAAGTGCTAATTCTCTTTGATTTTTAATAATTAACACGGACCCCAAGATTGAAAGTCGAAGTCAACGTATGACCTTGACTAAAAGATTAATAATTTAGACACTTCTTAGCATACACCCCTAGACCGATTTATTATAATTTGGAACAAAATTATTTAAATCGAAAAGATTTGTGCTAACAGGGTCAGCTGTTGGCAACCCATCAAATATTACAAACGTTTGTAAGCACTCGGTAGGAAATGGGGTGATTGTGGACAGGGAACAGCCAGAGTTTGAGACAGGATCACTTAGTTTAAGTATAATATAATAAGGAGAATAATTTAGATAATAAACTTATATATCTTTTCTTCCAAATATGTTCTTCTTTTTTCTGATCTGTCACGACCGGTTTCGTCGTTAGCCATTATCAAGATACAACAGAAAAACAATAGAAAAGATTCACAGCAAAATCAAAAAGAACAAAACACAGCAAAAAGATGATACAAAAAACGAAACAAAAAAATGGACGACATTCACATTCTGCGGCCCAGAAACATACAAAATAAGCAAAATTTTCAAAAAATTCGACCTAAAAATAGCCTACAAAACCCAAAACAATCTAAAAAACAAACTAACCACAACAACCGAAAACACCAACAAATACCAAAAAAGCGGAATATACAAACTAAAATGCATGAGCTGCAAAAAAACATATACAGGACAGACAGGCAGGAAATTCGAAAAACGATACAAAGAACACGTCCGAACAATAAAAAACAGAAAAATGGACTCCAACTACGCCGCACACATATTAGAAAATGGCCACAACTACGGTACCATCGAAGACACCATGGAAATAATAAAAACCATGAAAAAAAGTAAACGACTCAACATCACAGAAAACCTAGAAATATATAAAGAAAAACTAAAAAATCGTCACATCAACATCCAAATTAACAGTACAAGTGCGCACTCTTCACCCCCCTCCACCACCTTCAACGGAAAGACAATATAAATACAACACCACCCTAAGAACCATCATTGTCACTTGATAACGGCTAACGCCGAAACCGGTCGTGACAAATCAGAAAAAAGAAGAACATATTTGGAAGAAAAGATACATAAATTTAACATGTTCTTCGGAATACAAAAACCACTAGAAGTTAGATAATAAACGGTATCTTGGTGAACCATGATGAATAATTAAATGAATAAATAGCACACTTGGAAGTTGGTGCCATTGTTTTTTTCATGGTATGTACGAGGGTGGATTGATAAGTTTCCGGCCTAACCAAGAGATGACGCCACTAGGCCTACCTTGAGGTGACATTCTATAGTACCATCCTTGGATAGCTTGTAGCTATAGTTTCAGCCCGATCTCCTTGCTAGTGTAGGTTTGACAGCACGCTGAACAAGACGCCTCTGTGGTTTTCGTAAAAATGGAAAAGCAGGAAAATCGTGCTGTCATCAAATACTTTTATTTGAAGGGGTTAACGCCGAAGGAAATTAAAAAAGAGATGGACTCAACACTGGGGACATCCTCCCCGTCATATTCAACCGTTAAGCAGTGGGTTTCCGAGTTTAAAAAGGGTCGTGTGAGCACCTCTGATGGGCCTCGCTCAGGACGCCCCGTTGAGGTCACAACTCCAGATATGATCGAAAAAATTCATCAAATAGTGCTGGGAGACCGCAGATTGAAAGTGCGTGAGATAGCTGAGACCTGTAAGATGTCATATGAACGTGTGCAACATATTTTGCACCAACATTTGCATATGGAAAAGCTCTGTGCAAGATGGGTGCCGCGTTTGCTAACAGTCGACCAAAAATTGATTCGAAAAAACATTTCTACCGCAAATTTGTCATTGTATAAGCGTAATCCAAGCGAATTTTTGCGTCGATTCGTAACCGTTGACGAAACGTGGGTCCACCACTACACTCCTGAAACCAAAGAACAGTCTAAACAGTGGATTGGACCAGGGGAACCAACTCCAAAGAAGGCAAAAACAATTTTTTCGGCGAACAAGGTTATGGCTACTGTTTTTTGGGATGCAAGAGGTATTATATACATTGATTACCTTGCAAAGGGTAATACTATCACTGGTCAATACTACGCAGACTTATTGCAACGTTTGAGCCACGAGGTGAAAATTAAACGACCTCATCTGGCGAAGAAAAAAATCTTGTTTCATCACGATAACGCACCAGCGCACACGTCAATCGTTGCGACGGCTAAAATCAACGATCTAAAGTTTGAATTGATGCCGCACCCTCCTTACTCTCCAGACCTAGCCCCGAGTGACTATTTTCTGTTCCCTAATCTCAAAAAATGGCTTGGCGGTAAGAGATTTGCGGACAATGAAGAAGTAATCGAAGCTGTAAATGGTTATTTTGAGGAGCTTGACGAATCAGTCTATAGAGATGGCATTAATAGACTGGAACACCGCTATGAGAAATGTATCAGCCTTGGAGGAGATTATGTTGAGAAATAAAAAAAAAAAATTTTTAAAAACCTTGTTTTTCTTGGTCAAGCCGGAAACTTATCAATCCACCCTCGTATTTTAAAGAACGACACTTACCAGTAATAAACTTTCCCATGCCATCCATCGTATTGGAAGTTTTACCTTTGTATCGCTGATGTAATAATCGATGTCGTACCGATTACAATACATGGCGTGGTCTGACACTTTTACAGTATATGCCTTATCTATGACACAATTTCTGTAACAAATTATACAAATAAGATGCAAATTTTCTGTAAGTAACTTGTAATAAGTAAAGAGCAATTAAAAATAAAAATATATAAAAAAAAGTAATTCAAATATTTATTAAAATATGTCTTGTTATAATTTGGAATAAGTGAAAGCAACCAAAAACGAATAAAGTAAGAAATCAAGCTACGTATGGGCAAAGGTTTTTATTTATGTTGTAACTTAGAAACCTAACCCTGAAGATGCCTCATAGGTTGTTAATCTCATATAAATAAAAACCATTGTCCCATACGTAGCTTGATTTCTTACTTTATACATTTATTGAGGAAAAAATGGCAACAAAATTAAAAACTAATGTTAATAGTATTTGTAAATATAAAAAGCGTTATATTTACCTAGCTGCTAAGTCTCTATGAACCAAGTCTAAAGTTTCAAGGTATTTCATACCAGAGGCTATTTGGGTGGCAATATATATAAGACCTCCATAGCTGAAACAACAGAATATAACAATATAGGAAGAAGTATACTTAGAAAATAAATTTATTTAAAAGAAATTGTTTCACATTTTTCTCAAAAATGTCTCCCAAATTTACATTTTATGTTTATTAGTTTTTTGAATAACGCGCTGATGATTATTACAGGTCGGCAATCTTTGGTTGCCCGCATTGTTGTTAGTCGGCCATCTTTGTTTGCCCGCATTGTTGTTAGTCGGCCATTATCTTTTTAATTATTACCACATTGTTGCCTGGTCGGCCATTTTGGAGTTTTAATTGTTGTCATATTGTTGTTGTCGGACATTTTGATGTTCAAACGTTGCTGATAGCGACCATTACTGCTTTTCAATTGTTTTTTTCATACAAGAAAGGTAACTTTAATTAATATTAAAGTAAACCTCCAAAGATTTGACCATAAATGTGCATCAAAAGCATATTCCTTTCTATTATTGTTGAAACTACCGAAATATTAAAATAAACTGCTCTTCTTGACCGATTACCTTTTGTTTTATTTAATATCGTGCAACTTAAATATGGCGTAGGCGTGATGAATTGTATGTTCCTATACATAAAGCTTATGAATAACGTAGAGAAATGGCTGTTCCGAGAGAAAAAGGTACAGAGAGATGCAAGCAGTTATTCATTTCGGGAATGACGGAAAGTTCCATACACCTGAAATTCATTTCAGTTTATGATCCCAATCTGATTTGCATCCTAAATCGTTTTTACGGTCGAACTTTGCGCACTCTTTTACGTGTGTGCCTGTGCATGAACATGGACTTTAGTTAACGACCAAAGTTACGAGAATGCAAATTTCGCAATAAAAATGCAGTTCTACATTGGTTTGTTCCATAGCCAGAATACTTTTTGTTTAAAACTGTGTGTTAACTGTAAACTTGTGGATACGAAACACCGGAACTACATCAGGCACGGGTACCAACCCCAAGGCCCCGTTGCAATTTTAACTTTAATGGCAAAACAAATCTTTACAAATGGAAACGATACTGGCAAAATGTTCATAATTGTGGAGGGGTTCCGATAAACAGACAAACAATTGAGAATATTTTGCACTGATACTATCACAGGGATGGCATAGGAAGTTTTGCGATATGATCCTAGTGAATTATCAGTCGAAATGTTTAAATTTAGAAATATATCTACTATCTCTTTTGAATCCTGTTGAATTCTTTTGAATCTATATATTTAACTATTAGCAATTTAACAAACATATAAATTAAACCTGTACATAATTCAAAATTTTTCTGGTTAAATATTCCCATATATTATACGATTCTACTAAGTAAATTCACCAAACTATCCTAACAGTTGATGTGTTAGGTACAATAAAAATTGCTTTTTTGTGTTCAGTTAACATCAGTAAGTAGGCACTTTTTAGTTCTCTTCTTAGTTCACCCCTAACGATAAATATGGAACGGTTTCTAATTATTTAGTAAATTTATATATTTCTAAAGAAGGAATGACTATAGAGATGAAACAGGAAATATAAAGGTTTTAAATTTACTAATACATAATTTCCGGATCATAATTACTCTCAATCATGTTCCAGTAAACAAATATTTACTAGTTTTGTTTAAAATTATGAGTAATAAGCAAATTGTAATCATAAGTCCGCCATTTTTGTCAGTCCTTTGTTGTTCAATTGTTATCAGTCAGCCATCATTATTTTAATTGTTTCCGCATTGTTGTCGGGGTCGGCCATTTTTGATTTTTAATTGTTGACACATTGTTGACGTAGTCGGCCATTTTGGTCTTCGATTGTTACTATTGTCAGCTATTCATGTTTTTAAAATAGCATTTTAAAACAATGTAGAAAAAGTTAAATACAAATATAAACTTTACTATCAAACCTTTAATATATGGGCATCATTTTTGCGGCAAACAGTTGCCAATTAATACTTGAGTTGTGTGATTCAGAAGATTTAGTTTATTAAGTACAATCCGGAAATTAGAAACATCATGGCTTTAGACAACTTATAATACATTATCAGATTTCGTTAGCGTAATTTCCGTTTATTTGTAATACCTTTAATAAATACGTAATGGAACACGAATTGGTTAATTTAATCGTTCAAAATGGCTTTAACGTCAGGGTAATTATTCATAATGATTAGGGTACACCGTATCTAGAGAGCGAGCATGAATTGACGCAAGGGGTTGCGGAGGGGTCCACGAGCCAGTTAAAAATTTTCACGCTACGATGAAAAACTGGGATAAACGATTTTGCAGGATAATTACGAAGCAACATGTTTCAAACAAGCCGACTATAATTAAACTTTTTGGCAGTTTTTTAACCACGTTATCATCGTATCAGAAAACATATGTGGTCATAATGAGATCTAAAAAAACTTAATGTGCACGAAAATAATCAGTTTGTAATAAAAAAAATTATCCAACAAAATAACAAATGTAACATATTAAGCTTATAAATAGCAAATTACATTTTTTGTCGAAAACCTTAAGAGGGTGTAGATAGAACAAAATCGGCGGCTGTAGTGTTACAGACGAATGATGAGGATATCGTGGATAGAGAAGGTTAGAAAGGAAGAGGTATTAGATAGAATAGAAGAACAGAGGACTCTATGGAAGTCAATAAGAAATAGGCGAGATAGGTTGGTAGGACACCTTCTCAGGCATTAAGGTCTAGAAGCAGAAACAGGAGTTAAGAGGAGTAGAGGCAGACCTAGATTAAATAACTGTTCATAAATACTTAAGGATATAGGATGTTCTAGTATTGAGGAAATGCGAAGATTAGCTCAGGATAGGAAGGAGTGGAAATGCGTGTCCAACCAGTATTAGGACTGATGACCTTATGATGCTGTTTGTGTAGAGTAGTAATAAAATTATGTAACACTTGGTGTACTACAGAATTTCCGGAATTTTTTACTGAAAGCGTTTTACAGAAAAAGTTTAGCTTATAAACCAATAAATCCTTGGGATAGATTTTTTTGAACATTTATACAAACGTTGTTTTAAATTCGCATATAATCGTACCCTTCTTTCAGCGAAATGTTGACGTAGGATTAAAGCCTTAATAAACGCAATTAAACCGCTTATTGTTTACACAGATCGTAATACCAGACAAAATTTTAATCCCTGTGTCCAAACGGAATTTTGAAACAAAGGAGAAATTATCACGAATTTACACGTCAAAATGTACACATTCACATGATATTGTGCGGGGCGAAATAACTTTATTTAATCAACAAAATCGTTTTCATATTAGATTATTACCTCAATTGTAATCTCAAAATAGCTATCAACAAGACAATTTCTAATTCATAAAAAAGACTATTAAACATTATCTAATACAGTACAATACTCTGAAAGCTTCCAATAATTTTTCAAGCCCTCTTATTGTTTAAATTACTTTATAAGTTTTACAATTAGTAAAAATAATGCCACTCGAAAACTTTTGACGGCATGTGATTTTATCTACTTATTTTACATAATTATCAGTTCTCAAAGCTTAAGTAAATACCTTCCATCTCACAATTATCTTACGAGCGCTTTTTTATGTTTCAATCATTATATCAATCAATATATTATATTATAATAATACCGGAAAGTACCTAGTTGAAACCACACTAGAAAACTGTTACTAGTATGTGATTCTACATATTGTTTTACATAATTGTCAGTTCTCAGTGTAGGTATGCTAGCTATCTCACAATAATATCATGAGTGCCTTTTTTTGTTGCATTTGTTATATGTATATATATGTTAGTAAAAACAATGCCGGAAAGTACCCATTTGACGCAGCACTCGAAAACCGTTGGCACCATGAGATTCTACGTACCATTTTACATGATTATCACTTCTTAAAGCTGAGCAAATACCTTTCATCTAGCAATAATTTCACGAGCACTTTATTATACTTCAATTATTTTATATATTTTATTAGATATAATGACGGGAATTATGTACCCATTTGACATCGCACTCGAAAATCGTTGGCACAACGAGATTCTACATACTCTTTTATATAAATATCACTTCTCAGAGTTTAGTAACCACCTTCAATTTNGTACTTTTGTACGTAATTATTACTTCTCAAATCTTAGTAAATACCTTTCTCCTTCGAATAATTTTACTAGCGCTTTTTATGTTTATGTTATTGTGTGTGCTTTATCAAAAGCAATGCCGGAATGTACCAATTTGGCACCGCACTCGAAAGCCCTTGGTGCCATCAAATTCTACGTACTTTTGTACGTAATTATTACTTCTCAAATCTTAGTAAATACCTTTCTCCTTCGAATAATTTTACGAGCGCTTTTGATGTTTATGTTATTGTGTGCGCTTTATCAAAAGTAATGCCGAAATGTACCAATTTGACACCGCACTCGAAAACCGTTGGCACCATGAGTTTTATGTACCTTTTTACATGATTATCTCTACTTAGCCTTCCAACTCCCAATAATTTAAAAATAATGCCGGAAAGTACCAATTGGACTCGAATACCGTTGGCAGCATAAGAGTTTGCATACTTTTTAGATAATTATCACTTGTCAAATTATTACGAAAATTACTTATCTTTAATTTTCAGCTTTACATCTCGCTATTTATTGTTTCTTTTTTGGAAATTCTCTTATGTAATAAAATTTCCTATTACAGATTTGCACTATTTAAAATCACTTCTGTTAGGATAATCTTGTACAAAACAAAAAACAAATGGGGCTCAATTAAATCTGTCCCTGAGAGAGATCCACAGAGTAACGTTATGTTTTTATTGTCCATTAATAAATAAGATAATGTGCTTCATTTTCAAGTGGGAATAATTTATAATACATAACAACTTTATTTCCTGAACAACAGCACTGTTTGTTTGACTAAAGGAAGTTTGTAGATTAAACTCCGTAATGTTGGAGGCATATAATAGAACACACAATCAGCTGGTGTACAAAAGGGGCACTAAATCATTTAGCATCGTAATGTAATATATGAGTCCCTTTGAGCGGGTGAAGTCAGCTTCGGTACCGATACGCGCGCCCTGTTATATGCACACTTTATCATCAAACTTTTGTTTGGAAAATTGAGTTATGAGATAAATTGCAAGCAAACGTCTTCGCGAAGCATCAGAGCTACGTTTACTAGGTTAGGTACTACCTGCTTTGTTCCTGAATTTTTTAAAGAAAGCATGTTTTCATACAATTCTTCTTCTTTATTTTACTAAAGGTAAATAATAACACACAAAAATATACTAAAAGCTCATATGTAAGTATTCTGAAAATTGTGTCGCACTTCGGGGTTTTTATGCTAAAATGGCCGACATGGGCAACAATTGAAAATCAAAATGTCGGACTACTAACAACAATGTAGAAACAAAGGATCGACTAAAATGGCCGATCTATGTCAACATTTAGTTTGTTATTTAAAATTTTAACAGTTTATTCGCTTCTAAATAAAACTGGAAAGAATATTTAACAGTGAATTTTCAAAAGACATTAAAATATGCTACTTTTGTTTAATGCTTAATAAATTGATGATTTACGAAATCGAATTTCATTTACATAAGGTATTATTTTATGACTTATAGCGCATCGAGTATTAACGTACATTGTTCGAATTACTCCAAGTTTGGAATTGTTTTCACTCCCATGGGTCCTCTCTCTCAATATACGTACCTACGTGTTTGTATTAGTAACAATTTGTTAACTTGATAGTTTCTGTCTGGGATATATTTTTGTTAACTTTTCTTCGTTCTTATGTTATTGTATTGTAATGTTCGTGGGTTTAACAAAATTACTTCTAAGACTGATCACGACAAAAACTATTTATTTACACTAATGTTGATATATCACTGTCAATTTATTTCTGGATTCACTTCTGCAACGGTCAATTTATTTCTCTTCCTCTCGGCGATCGTCTCTTCCTTTAAATACTCTTTTGTCTACTTTCTCGAACCTTCTGGAAACATCCGGAGTAGTTTATTTTTTCTTTGAACTGTTTAACTGTTTCCCCAGAACGCAGGTATGACACACATTTACAAATGAAGTACATGAAGAAAGGCGCCCGCGGCTAGTCGGCGAATCGATAAGCCGTTCACGCACACGTGTGCCCGATCGCACACAAACACACCCGTGCTCGCTACAGTTTGTATATTATTACAATTATTAATGTTTGTTGAAAATTGTTAATTGCTCCGACAATTGAAGGAGGAAAGTTGTGCTGCAAGCGATTTACCTAAACTAAGTAACAATTCGTAGAAAACATTTAATTGATCTATTTCCATTAAAACATGTCGACTGCAACAAGGAAAATTTGTTTCCGCAGAGCTGAATAATGAATCTGCTAAAATTTACTTATTTGACTTCACTATTCTCCAAATTTTAATTTGAGAGATAGAACGAATTGCAGCAGTTTTCATTTAGTTTCCAATGCGGCTTCCATTTCTAACAATTACCGTTTAATGAGGATCCCAACTAACTATCCATTAGGGTGGCTTTCTTCATTCAGACTTCTTACTTAGGCACGGAAAAGAGTGACAACAAATCGGATTTCTATTCGTTCTTGTTTTATTATTTCAATAATAAATTGGATAGTAAAATACTTTGAAGTTGCGTGTTCACAAATTCGTCCACATACAACTATTGCATACTACAACTTTCTAAAAACATTAACTATTAAAAAAGATAACGGTACCTATACCATCAATGTACAGGGTGTAACATTAAGTTCCGAGCTTGCAGGAGGCGATAGAGCACTTTAAAATATCAAAATTAAATAAATGTTTGCACGTCGGAAAGTTCACCGTTTTCGAGAGGAAGTAGTAGTTGAAAGTACAGGTAAATTTAATTCCGGCCCTGGTAAAGAAACAGGGCACGCAACGCTGCACTCAGTCATCCAACATCAGTTTTGTATTTTTTCGCTCATGCATTGTTTATTTGTTAGATTAGATTAAGTGTGATTTAGGGTATTTATGTTAACAGCCAACCTTTAGTAGCCTTTTATTCTTTTAACGTTTAAACTTTGTATGAGGCGCAATTCAATAAACGAATTCAGCAATACAATATCAATCATTAATTTGGAGACTTACTTGACTTTTTTGGTAAATTTACATCTTGCTAATACCTTAATGGCAATGAGGAAATTGTCCTTAATAAGATTATAGTTATCCAGATGATTTATCATCATTTACCGATTAATGTTTATGTAACTTACATTTTTTTTTGGGTGTTCCTACATTTACATAGTGCTGGTTGTAATGTACTTATTTAATTTATTTCGTTTAAACGTTATGTGTAATACTAAATTGTTTATGTTTATCTTAGACGTTCGATAATCGACAATGTTGACCTTCTTCATCCATGTAATTTATCGCACTACGCATTTCGGTAGACACACACCTATGTTGCCAATTCACACACAGGACCGGCTTCGTATTGTAAATTATTCTGATTTTCTTAAAACTTTTTTTGCCCTAAACCATGCTGCTGAATTCATTATGTGCGAATGTTCTAGAACTTTCTTGAATGTTTCTATAGCATTAGAGCTGACTTCTGACGTGAAATGCTCTAGAGTAAACTGGATAACAACAAATATGTTTCTAACGATCCAGTCGAATTTAATATATTCCCACTTTTAAAGTCAGTCATTTGAGCTATTATTTAAAGACCTTGGTAGTTTTAATAAGAATTCGTTTAGTCTTTGTTCACCATGTAAAAAATTCCTCTATTGTGTGTTTTAGTTCCTAGATTTATTATAATAACATAAATATTTGATACAGTGGAGTAAAGGCAATAACAGGACACTTTTCTGTATTGCCGCTAGGGTAGATAAAACTGTAAAAAAATATGGCATCAACTGGGAAACGATCCCGGGCCGCTCGCCAGATTAGAACACATTCGATTGGTTTAAAGTGTTGAAAGTCGAGGTTAAGGGTAGAATATAGGTACCTACAGAAATCGAATTTCGATTACACGCAATTTCTTGGATGTAATAATTAAGTTATTAATGAACCTACCTAATGGGATGTTGTCCTTCATTAACTGAACTGTCTTGTGTTTTTTGAGCAAGAAAATGGGGTAGTTCTCTGCACTCGGAATGTTCGAGTAGCGCACACATGGGCTCGTCTTGGGTACATAGTCCAACTACGCGAGCTAAATTAGGGTCACGGAGTCCCGCTAACCAGCTGGTTTCCCTTAGGAATTCGTGCCTGCAACAAAAATACAAACATTTAGGGTTGCGCCCTCTCAATACATAACTCTTGATATTAAAATGGGGGCATTTCGCTTTAAAATTTGACGGAGCAAAAACACATTTCGGTTTTTTTTTACCCCTGTATATATTGTATACGGATAAGGCAAAGAGTTCACCGCATTTCTTTGCAGGAATTTTTTCTTTTTATCATATTTCGCACCAACAAAAGTGCATAATTTGATGAACGTGACGTGGAATATATTTTTTCAGCAACGTTTACCTGAAAGTACCATTTGCTTCTCTGAAAACTGCCCTAAACTAACTGAACTCTCAAAATCTTTTGAACAAAACGTAATACTCTATAGAAGCATCAAGTTAAATTTATTGGAGTTACGTTACTTTATTATTTTTATGAAAAGATGTACGAATTTTCTTATAGCATACCAGCGTTGCCAACCTGTACGATAATTATGGGGACATACGATAATTTTGCTTCAAATACGATGTACGATATCGTAATTCAAATTTCTATTAAACGTACGATAATTCGTGCTTATGAGATAAAAAAATATTTTCAAATAGCAACATGTTGCCTTGTTTTTCTACCTTCTTAAAATCTTTTGTTAATAGAACAAATGGTCATTTGAACAGTCTCTGGGTATTTTCACTACATAAAAATACAAATTCTCTCTAATTTACAACAGAGCCGGACAAACTCAGCTCTTTTGATTCTCGAAAGCTTCTCAGGTAAATCCTAAGAGCTTCTCCTTGCTAAACTAGCGACGGTTAACGGACTTTTACTTACAAGTCAGTGTATTGAAATGAATAGGGGATGCAATAAATTTGAGATCACTGATGAAATGTTGTCTCGTTTTAATTCGAATAATCTTTATAAAAATAATAATAAGAATAATGGTTATCTATAAAATAATAAAACAGAATTAATACGTTGATTATTATTATTGTATTAGATTTTATTATAAAAAAAATATTTTTATGTATGTTGAATATTTGATTTTAAGAACTTAAGTACAATTTCATAATGTTAAAATATATACACTATATGCATAGATATATAAATATATGTTGGAAAGTTGTTTATTTGTATACATTCAATAAAATTTAATTGTTTATGGACTCTAAAAAATGAACTTTCTTCCAAAATGTTTAAAATCCACTCCGAAATTCATTTTTCTATTTGAAATTATTAGCCCGTCAGGAAAGTTTTTATAGTGTCATCTATTGATGGTATAATAGAACTGAGAAAACTACTGGGGTACACACTCTCTTTACAAATTCATACTCCCACCACTAGACTATTACTACGGTGCGCATGCGCAATAACGTACGATATTTTTGATGTTAATACGATAATTTTTCCTAAAGAGTGCGATAATTCCATCTACTGAACCTGACAACGCTGTAGCATACCATATTTTTCAATAGATGATGCCGTTCTTTGGTGATTACATGCAGTAAAATACACCAATGTTTGATTTTCAACTCATCAGTAGTGTATATCGTTTACTACTAAAGCAGGCCGTACACCTAAGCTACGACATGCGACATAACGCAAAATGTCGCGTGAATATTTTTATCGCGTAAAGCCAATGGAAGTGTATAAGGTGATGTCAGTAGCATCGTATGTCAATCAGGCACGATGTTCGCACTGGGCGATATGTACCTCCTGAAATTTACTTATTTGACTTTACTATTCTCCAAATTTTAATTTGAGAGATAGAACGAATTGCAACAGTTTTCATTTAGTTTCTAATGCGGCTTCCATTTCTAACAATTACCGTTTAATGACAATCCCAACTAACTATCCATTAGGGTGGCTTGTAAGCTTTTTTCATTCAGAATTCTTACTTAGGCACGGAAAAGAGCGACAACAAATCGGATTTTCATTCATTCTTATTTTATTATTTCAATAATAACAAAGACGTTTAAATTGGGAAGATGAAATAGAACCGTTAACATTTGTTTACCTTATTAATAAAACAAATTGCATAGTATTTACTTTGCGAAGTTTCGTGTTCACATGTATACAAAGCAGGCCTTACACCTAGGTTACTACATGCGACATAACGCAAAATGTCGCGTGTAATTTTTACCGCTTAAAACCAATGGAATGTAGTTGATGACAGTACCATCGTTTGTCAAGCACGAACGATGTTCGTTCTGGGCGATATGTACCTCCTGAAATATTTTTTGTATATCTAATAGCAGCATTTATTGTGTAAGTATTTGATGAGGCAACTTCAATAAAAATGACAGAATTTCCAATTTTCGATATCAATTTCGTAAACATTATTTAAAAAATCCTTGCTAATGGAGTTGACACTCTCCTAACTCATTCTATGAAATTCTTAAAATTTCTTTGGATATAGGTACATATAGGGTAATTGTATAATTGTTACACAACAACTTCTTCGGACCACGGATAACGACATTTTTACTAAATAATAACCGCTTTTTAATTATTAAAAATTTGGAATATTTGCTGCACTTGTACATGTGCATACCGCATGTTTCATGTATGATGCATTCCTGGTGTATGACTTGCTTAATCAAATCAAATATTATTATAAACTAGCGACCCGCTCCAGCTTCGCACGGGTGCAATGCTGATACTAAATATACTACAGAATGTCTTTATACACAACATTCGCAGCTTTTTTGTTATTAGACAATACAAATCGGCCCCCCGGCCGGTACCGCCGCAACCGCTATGTCCCTGCATTTTAAATCTGTAATACCTTCGAAAATATTCATTTAAATTACATGCTGTAAAGGGCCATATTGATCTACATTAAATGCACAATGTATTTAAAAGTACTTAATTGGATAAGGATTAATGCTGTATTGCTTAAAATCGCTTCGTAAATAAGCCATTATTTCTCGTAAAAAGTAAAGGATAAAAAATGGTTATTGTGGGTTATCCCTATGAGATAGACATATACCATCCCGGACTTTTTGTAGACCTTTTTAAGGTGTACAATACTGTAGTACATTATTTTGATATATCTATTAGGGTTCATCCAGCGTTTGCAATGTAAGCGCAAAAAGTGAGCTTATTTACGACATCACATTAGAAACCTCTAAAATTATTAGTGTTTCTCTACTATATTATGCATGTATTATACATATAAACCTTCCTTTTGAATCACTCTATCTATTAAAAAAACCGCATCAAAATCCGTTGCGTAGTTTTAAAGATCTAAGCATACATAAGGGCAGACAACGGGAAGCGACTTTGTTTTATACTATGTAGTGATGCGAATGTTAGTTTGTTTGTTAGTTCATTTATTACCATTTCAGGCCTTAACTACTCAACCGATCATCATAAAATTTTGTACACACATTATCAGGGGTATAAAAAGGAACATAGGGTACCTTTTATATAGAAAAAAATACTGCTCCCAAGGGATAGAAAATTTCTTTTCATCTCAATAAAGAAGGACAGTATTTACTGTCGTTCTACATAAAGTGTATATTTAACGTAGAAAATTAGAAACATTAGTTTTATCCTGATGATCCTGGTCAGGATTATTGTATTTTTAATGATCTTTGACACGTATTTAGGACATCAATGCGTGTGAAGTCGTGGGTAAAAGTGTGTTAGTTGTAACTGATTTAGGTAGACAGTGAACTTAAGATTAAAAACAATGCGTAACGGTCAGAGTAGGTAGATGGTAGAATTTCGGTTTTTGTTGGTTCAGAACTTATTTCCCTTGTTGGTTCTGTGGCAGCGAACGTAGCATAATAGACGCAAAATTGTGTAAGTAATTCAGTAGTTGCCTTGTTCAAACAACGCCAGACCGCGAACAATGTGCTCTAAGCAACAAACCAACCACTCTAAATTCTATGGCGTCCGTCAGTTACGTTAATTCTTAATTTTTACGCCGGGCCTTCGTTCATATATGTTTCAGGAAGAAGGTCCCGAGGGTGAAACAGATGGCTGGCACGAGTCCAACTCCCTCAAATTTACCTTTCCAACTTTTTCCTTTTTCAATTACTAACTTTGTTCCTAACATATTTCGGCCATAAACTAAACGCGAAATATTCTTGGACATCATCTATAATAAATTAATTTCACCGGCAATATAATAACATATTGAAAGAGACTCGTTTTATATATGGATATTGATTGATATTAAATAAAGTAATTCGAAGTGGTCCGTATTCTGTCGAAATGTCAGACGCGGAACGCGATTTCGATCTTTTTGGATCTCATCAGCGCGCCGCAGACAGCTTCGACAGAACACAGACCCACTTTTACCTGCTGTCTTAACAGCGCGTTTTAGAAAATACCACAAATGGCGCGGTAAACGCCATCTGTAGGCGTCAGACAGTCCAAAAAGATCAAAATCGCGATCCGCGTCTAGCAGTTTCGACAGAATACAGACCACTTCGAATTATTTTATTCGATTATGGTAACGTGCCTATCACGCTGAGATTAGCTACGCCGGTATTCGTTTCAGAAAGTAGATATCCATATATTTAAATGGACCCTGTTGGAGCATACGTAATCCTAAAGTGTAGCATCGTACTACAGATGGTGTTTACCACGCCATTTGTGGTATTTTCTTGATTGATAGTTTATACATTCAGTGGATTTCGGATACAACGACGACGAAGGGACCACTGTAATTTCGACGTTATATCCGAACGTCGTTATAGGCAAAGGTAAAGAGATACAGACACGTATGAATAGTTTTCAGCATTTTTCAATTTTAAATCGACTTCCGCTTTTTTTTTAATAATAAATGTGCATCTAGGAGTTGTATTATACTATTCAAAAGTTTACTAAACCCAGTTACTATTCAGGATATCCCTATGTAATTGAACCATTTTAACGTACACGCTTACCTACCTACCTGGCTAATATCTATAAACAAACGGTAAATGTCACCTCTTGCTGACCATCCAAAGAATTAAACAAATGTAAAGAAAATATTAGTAGATAACACTCATTTTTGTTTCCTGGTAGGACCAAAACGTCTTCATAAAATT